ACCATAGAAAGATTCCTTTATCATGTTTCTATAATTTCATCAATGCAGCAAACCCTAAACTGCGCTGTGAAGGGCGGTGAAGAAGCGCGCTTTGAATTCCACGTGGTGAGAGCGTTCACTGCTCCTCCCTTTCCTCATGCTACTATGTGACATTTGCTCCAGGATAAACATTTAACCATGACTGCTTATTACATATTTGAGCCCACGTAGTCTATTTTTATAGTGGGCTAATACACTTATAGCTCGATTTTCCATCAGAGGCTTACATAACACTTTTACAGTTTTGCGGCTCCAGACAGACTGGCTTTTTGTTTTTTTGTATATGGTTCTTGGAGCAGTTTTGGTTGCCGACCCCTGGTCTAGTGGTTGAAAAAGTAGTGGACTCAACATTTCCCACAATGCACCTTGAAAAGTACTGATCGTCCATGGTCACTAGATGAGCAGATGTATCCCGCAATGCTTTGCGTGGAGAGCTCTCCTTGCAAAGGGTTATGGGATTTGCTACTCGATAGTGGGTACAAATAACAAAGATGGCGAAGGGCACCATGGTGGAGGAGGAGTTACTTGACCAATGGGGGGCGTAAAGTAGTGATCATCTGTCCAAACAGTAAGTTAACGTAGTTCACTATACAGCACATAGCTCTATATAATGATGGAGGGATTTAGGGGTTAGGGCGGACGTCGGACACAGCCAACGTAATAAGTGCCGTAAAAACCTGACGTTATCCAATGAAAATTGTAGTTTTTAATTGAACAGGAACATGAGCTGTGGGTCTCGCTCATTATTCTGAGTGATAGTCGCTCTCGTGAACGTACATTGCTGCAAAACTGATCCATTCGGTTCACCATTCACTAAAGATATGAACGTATTTAGTGAAGGCTTAATGCAACTGAAGTAAACAAGGATAGTCTAATAGTCTTCTAGAAAGTCACTGATGACTGAGGACCAATCTTGGTACACTGTAAAGGCCAATCTTCAGAATGTTTACCACTGTTTGGTGTTTTCTCCATTTGTGGATTATGGCTCTCAGTGTGGTTCAACCCCAAAGCCTAAGACAAGGATTTATAGCCTTTTTTCTGGATTGAAAGATTTCAAATACTGTTTCTCCGCTGTTTCTGAAAAATTATTTGTTGCTTTCCGAGATCTTTCTTGTTGTCAGACATGTTCTAATTAAGAGACTTACTGATTTTATAAGTATATAAGGGAGATGTTTCAATATCCATTCAAATTTTTAAGACTTCTCAGCTGGTTATATTTCCTAAAATGATGAAAAAAATTACTAGATAAATAAAAACAGTAGTAATCATTGACTTTGCAACAGAGTCTAAAATGAAACCCCATCCCCAGTTTGCTGGGTGTAGCTAGTGAAACTACTTTGATTAAGTCTGCAGTAAGCACATGCCTTTCCATGGCTTTACATTGAGCTTGTATGAAAAAAGTATAATATCTGATTTGAAAAATATGAGGATATAATTGTCTTATAAAGATACATTTATATAGCTTAGGGACGGAAATGGTTAACACTGGAATTATATATATATCTGTTTTGCATAACATGCAAAATAACACTTTAAAACTAAAATCGCAATTGCAAAAGACAAATAGAAGTTAATGTCATGTTTCAGTATGAGACCTCTTTGCTTGCAATCAAAAGAGTTATTTATTTATTTGAAAAATGAATAGATTGTGGTATCTAAGCACTAATGGGGTCCTCTTGTGGCAAGGTTGCAAGGTGCAGTGCTGACATGTATTATTTATGGAATGAGATGTGCAGGGGATTATTACTGACGCACACATAAAAACCCAAATATGTAAGATATATAATGGATCACAGAGTAACGAGAAAGATCAAAAAGTCAATTGAATGAAGGTAATGCAGTAATCGAGTAACAAATGTCCACTTTCATTTTTTCAAAAAGAAGATTAATTCACATATTAGAATAGTGACAGAATATTCTCTTATTATAAAGGCTGGAATGGTTATTGTGTAATATCTATATTTTACACAAGCTTTTAGTAAACCAAGAGTCATGAATATTTTTCTTTTTACTCTATTGGAGTATTTAATAGCAAGAATATTATTTGTAAAAAGGTAACTTACTTAATGAAACGGTGTCTTAGTTTGATTTCTCCTTTTTCTGTTTAAATAGTCATCAAAGCCTAAAGTTACATGATTTTAATTATTTTTGTACCAATGAAAAACATAAAACATGGGTGAAACAAATTCATATTTCCTCGTTAAATAGTGTTTACTCAAACCTATATTCCTCTCCTTATTGCTTCCATTATTTTGTTCTGTTTGTGTTTTGTCTACCTCAACAAGATGGCAAGTAAAAGTCATATTTTATTCATGCTGGTTAGGTCAAGTACATAATTGTAAGTGCTTGAACTAAGAACTCTGTAATAGTACTTTTATGCTTATGCTTATCGTGACGGTAACCATTTAGTCTTCACAGACAAACCTGCTAATAGGCCTCTCTCTTGTGCTTTCTTTATACTCTCTAAAAGAGAAACTTCCCACATCCATTACAGATGTTTGGCTATATCTCATAATAAAATGCTTACATATTAAATTGGATTAAGCATACTGCCCTACTAATTTATTAACTAGATAAATAGCTTACTGCTAGAAACTAAGCTCTAACAGTGAATCCCTTCTTGTTTTATAGAATGCGAGCCTTCGTCTCCAGGGATTAAGTTGCAAAAAGAGGGTTGATTGGTGCAGCGTGTTAGTTAGATAAAATATGTCCTTGTCTGTCATCTTTACTCAAGCAGACTTCGGCTGAGAGACAGGGTTACTATATGAGGTTATATTTTCCAAATGATATTTTAGAAAGACTGCATCCCAGGATAATTGTGGGATAACTCAAATTATACCTAAAGCAATACCCTCTGGCTTCTGAATGAGCCATTAAGGAACAGCTAAGGGCAAAATGCAGTAGCTGTAAATGCTTTATTCAAAGTCACTATTACATTTCTGTTTGTTGGAACTTAATAGAAAGTCTAGAGGAGATCAATTACATCAGACAGACGGTATGCAAGGAAATGTATAACAACTAATGTGCAGGTAGGTAATAAGAAACACACAGTGGCTCAGGAAGAGGTGCTCATTAAATTCCACAGATTTATTTTACTCCCAACAGAGACAGACAGGAATAATGTTTGTTCATCACAACAGTTCATTACATTTACTGATCCTCAAATATGAATATATGTTTAACTATTGGAGACTGTAAAAAAAAATGTACTGGTTCTTGTTAGCAAGCCACTGAGGACTGAATGTTGCTGCTTATTTAATGGGATATGATGGATTTTATGCACCTCTATTTAGGCATTGATTTCATATCACTGTAAGTTTCTGAAGAAATCCTCTGAGATATGGCAGCTTCTACAGGGGACTACATTGTAACTTAACAAAATCTTTGTTTTTATAACATAAAAAAAATGTAAGTATGTGAAGAATCACTTGGTTTTGCTTTCTGTGTTTTTTTCATTCTGATGTCACAGGCTCCAAATTATTTATCTTATCTTTTTAAGTGGCATCTGTTTTGAATAAATCTTTATCAGGTTTTCTCTGTCTGCTCAAGATGGTATTTTTTCAGTTTAGTATAAATAGGAAGTTGAAGTTGAGTTTCGATTCTCAATACAGCTTCATATATTTCTACAGCTGAAATTTTCTTTTTCTTTTTCAGGGTTCAAATGAATTTTCTGACTCAGAACATACTTTATATCACTGTGGCCAGAAATAAAATCACATAGATTTAAGAAGTTTAAGCTAACCAGATAAACCCTATTTTGTTCCTGGTTTTTGCTAACTTTAGAGCTCAAAACGTACATTTCTTCTTCTGATTTTTTACTTGTATTATCCACTATATCTTAATAGACATAACTAGGTGAAATGCGTTTTACTACGAGGAAAATTTTTTATAATATAGTGCTTTTAAGTTTCTGTCTAGTTTGTTTTTGTTTTTTGGACAAACTGAAGTTACATTTGTTCACACAGCTGTCATTCAACTCAGCTCAACCTTTTCACTCTGCGCTAAGTCTGCCAAGAGCTTTTTTTGCAGCGGCACCAAGACTGATATGTTCATGTTATATGAAGAGCATAGTTGAAAAATGCCAGACTCTGCCAATTTGACTTCATTTACTCACACAGAAGTTGTTTGACTAAGAGAAAAGCAACAAACAAAACAATAGTTTCTTGTGAAAGTGCAGACTTTTAATGTCCATTATTATATAATTGTATTCCATAGATAGAAAAAAAATTCTACGTTTTTTAAGTTGCTAAAATCAACAAAAAATTGGTTCCACAACCAGATATGAGTCCTCCACTTCACTGAGAACTGTTTAAGTTGTCTTCCATCACACTGCATTATATATTCACTCTACAAGTAGGACAACATTACTGATACTAATTTCACAAAACCCCTAGGGTACTGTAGTCTTTTAAGCACCATGTTTATATTATAGGCATGAAGTCAGGGGATGTAGTATACATACATATTTGCTTAAAGTAGCGTTCTTTATTATTTACTAATTAAAAAAATAATCTGTGAGTATACTTTAAAATAAAGTGAAGAAAACTTTAATTAATACTTTAATTTTCAACATTAAGATTTTAAACATTAGAATTTATTTGTCCTTATCTTATTTAAAAGAATATAAATATCCTATGCAATAGATTTTAAAATTTCCCTTTGCATAAGACAGATTTTAAGAAAAAATACAGTAAAAAAGGTGGTTATCCAATCTGCGTCACCATAAATAAACATCAGCATCATTACAAATGAGATATAGAACACACTTATGAAAGGGTTTAACCAAATGAGCAATAATGAAATTCTTAAACTTGACAGTATAGTTCTCTACATCACATTCAGTACAGTACACTGAGAAGTTGGGTTATAGATAAGCTGCTCCTAAGAAGCTGCAGAGACTTGCTGACTGAACAACTGATTTACCACCATGCAATGAATTAACTACAAAGTTAAGCTATATATTTGACAACCAGAAGACACCGATAGAGCACAGAAAAGTTGCAGGGAGGAAAGTGCACAATGTTGAAGACTGTTACCACATCACCAAACAGTGACAGATAGAAGGATAGACAACAGATGAAGGAATTGCAGATGTAAAATGTAATACTTTGACTCTTGTCCCTTTTTGTTTCTTCACATGTTTTCAGGTCAGGCATATGTATCTGTATCTACAAAACCATCGAACATGTACATACAGTAGTAATGGCAAACACTTCCCATGCTTCCCCTGGCTGCAGGCTGAAACTTTACTGGCAGCCGGGAAAAGTTTGGACACTTTATATCTGCAAATTTCACATATCTTTTGTCTAAACTTTGGTTTTCACTTTAGCAACTAAGTGCAATAGCGCCTCCTATATTCTATGTCAATGTGGCTGCTCCTGCAGAAGCTCAAAGGCTAACTGTGTAATGTGACGCCACGCTTGCTGGATGTGGCGTGACTCAGTGGTGCGTGCACAGATGGCGAAGCGCAGGACAAAGCGACCAGAGAGCTGGCAGGGTACCAAGTGGAGCTCTCTGCTCTTTGTGATCCTTTTGAGTAAGGTTTGGTTCAGATCGTTAGAGCCCTGGGGGGAAGGAGAGCATGATGTTTACATTTCTAATCTGACTAATCTAATCTAACAGAATAGTTAAAAAAAACAGGGGTTCACAAGAACACAAAAATAAAACAATCTCTTTAGGGCATAACTCTGGTTAGATGTACAAACATAGTTTTCATCTTGAAAAATGGTAGAGATTATTATGACCATTTGGTTTACTTGCAAAAGCATGGTTTTAAGGCATAGTCTTTAATTTCTAATAGATTTGCGGTCTGGATCATTTTTATTATTCTAATGGTAGCCTGCTTAATTCCCTCCTAAAAAATAAGTTTAAAGTGTCTGGGACCATTGTCCTTCTTGAACACTAAAAAGTGTTAATCTTGTTAATGCCTCTAGCAGCATTACAGCCCCACAGTGTGATGCAACCACCCCCGTGCCTTAAAAAATGATGCAGTATTTTAGTCTAAAGCCTCCCTTTGGGAAAACAAACATCCTTTATGTCATTGTGGCAATGATGTAGTCTCTTTAGGCCCAAAGCAAATTCTACCTCTTCGACAATAGATGGATTATAGTTTAATTTCAAGCGATTCTTCTACTTCCGTATGAAAAAACAGGCTAAATATTCCATGGATGATTTGCTTATGAACAGATCTACACAGTGTGGTAAGTTGTTACCTTGAGCCTGAAGCATACGAGTCCCAGAACAACTTCAGCACAGATCTCAAACCTCTTGTCTGCTCTGACCAGACTCTCAAACTCTTTGGCCAAGGCCACTTGCTGCAGACACAAGACACCAAAAAGCTCTTATTAAAAAATGAGATTTTCAGCACAAGAATATCAATGTGAAGCTTAAAATTATTATTTAACTGCAGACAGAGGTTTAAATATTTAAAGGGTCTGAAATAGTGAGTTTATGGCACAACATACAGTATGACTCAGACTAACTCAGAGCAGACTTAAAAAAAAAACAAAAAAAAACACGGTTATAGAGTAGATAATACAATCTCATCTAGTTTGTTTTTAGAAAGGTAATAAAAAATACAAATATTTGTAGTAGTATCCGGCTGAATCAGTTGCTGATTCTACATTTAATAAGAAAACTAAACTAATAAGAAACATCTCAAAATTTGTTTTAATTTCAAAACGTTTTAAACTTAATTATATACATTTTGTATGTTTGTTTGTTTGTTTTTGTGGAAGTCGTTTGAAATCTAATCACTAATATAGGAAAATATTACATTTGAAGTTATGCCGAAAAATTTTCCATTACATAATAAATATATGTTTCTCATTATATGAGATGCAACAGAGCAGAATTTGTCTGATTCTTTTCACTAGATGGCAGTGTTGCGTCAGCCACCTTAAAAATAATTAACTTTGCAGTGTGTAAACCCAATAAATACAGGCTAGATGAAATAATCAATAGCCAATTACATCTGATAAAACAGGCTTGTTACATGATAGTATGCATCTTAATCGAAGGCACGATCTAGGAGGCAAACATAAGATATAGAAATGATTTTATCAGATTCTGCTTTCACCAAATATAATTTTCAGACAGCTGCATGTGATCAATCATGCTTGCTGCATAATGTATCCACTTAAGATCAGAGAGGCCCCTGAGATGCTGAATGAAAGAGAGCATCGGCCCAGTCATGATAATAAAGACTCCACACTGCTACACTTTTCCTGCCACTTTCTATCCTGTAAACTTGACACTCAAAATGAACATGACCAACAATGATTCATCATTTTGTTTCTGCATTTCCAGGAAGCTTGAAATATAAATATAGTACCTTCATTATCTATTACTCTAAAGTTGTTAGATACTTTGCATTTATTTTACAATATGTTTCCGTTTTCAGTATCTCATTGTGTGAAGTTTGCATGTGACACATGCTTTTTGGACCTTATAAAAGAGTCTGTCTATTTGAAACTAGAGATCTTAGCTTCCCAGGATACCACTGGTTATTTTTGTCCAATTTTATTGACTTTCTATGCATTTTTTTTTTATAGAATAGAATAGAATAGAATAGAATAGAATAGAATAGAATAGAATAGAATAGAATAGTCTTTTTTGGTTCCTCAGAGGGAAAATTCATGTGAACCATGAGAAAATTTACAGAAAAAAAGGAAAAAATAAATATCAAATAAAAAGATGAGAGACTGTACAATAAGAGTAAAAATAAGAATGAAAATAACATGATTGTAATAAAAGAAAAGTGCAATGATCAAAAAAATTTTCAAAATTGGAACACAACTCAAAATAAAGATGCCACAGTTATATAGCTGAATTGATTCAAAGAAGCTCTTCTCAGAAGTAGCCACATTATCTAAAATGAAGAGCAAACATAAAACAGGCTCATTTGATCGACAGAGCAGACCAGAGGAAGTAGGAGGAGGAACACAGAAAGCCAGGCATTCAGCCATGAAGCATCAAAAAGAAAAAAAATAGCAGTAAATGGGCCAGAGACGGGAGGAAATATTGTTACAGACAAGCATATATCAGCCAGATGTGATTGACAGGATGGATTACAGTTATGCTGATGATAACAGACTCAGGGAGGCGGGCAAAGAAGGAATTTATTTAAAAAAAAAGAGGAATTGGAGGGGTTAGATGTGGGAAGCAAGGAGGTGGCATTTACCATAAAACAGTTTTAGAGATGGGCAAGAGAGGAATGCCAGAGAAACACCCCAAAAAATGCAAAGTCATGCTGCTAAACTTATAAGTGCATAAACTGGTTTTATCTGAATTATAAGTAATAAAAAAAAACACACATATTTGCAATCTGTATTAAGGGTTTCTGTGTCTTGCAGTTGTTTGTTTCTGATCTCCCATCCCTTTGCTTGCATAGCCTGCAACCCCTACTAACATAATGATAATTATCAATAGGGTATCAAAGATGAAGGGACAGTTATTTGTGCTGTCACACAAAAAGTGAAATCTATTTTAAATTAATAACAATAATTTAAATGCATGTACCTTTTTAAATAGTATTAAACAGCATTCATACAAAGTGTTGTTATTGATATGCCAACAAAGCAGTGCATACTATAGAAGAAAAGAAAGAATGTGCAGAATTTTCAAACATTATTTCATGCAAAAGTGCTGCGTGCATGTATAGTCAGCTCCCTTTGCTTTGCGGCTCTAAACAACATCCTAAGTAATGATTGCCACCAGAAAATATATAACTTAGAAAGTATAGTACACCTGTGGGTAATTAAACGTATATAAATCTGTCATGTAGGCCTATGGTAACCATGGAACAGCTGCAGATACCTGCAACTTTATGGAAGAGTAACATGTAGAAGAAAACAAGCCATATAAAGTCCCATTTGTGGCTTGTTAGAGGGCAAGTAAGTGGACATTTAACCCTTTGAAAATATGTCCAAAACCTTTGTATTACGTACTAAGACAGCCCCTATATTCTGCCTGTGCCAGTTATTACACATTCAATGTGGACTGAGGAAGCTCTTGTTTCCATTACAACTGGTACCTAATGGAGTATGATATCATTCCCTTTATAAATGTTGGCACAAATGTATGATATACCTATATTCCTATTTATTTTTAAAATAAATAGAAAGATGCATGCAATGGAGTTGCATTTCTTCAGGAGGGATAGGGAAGCTGGTAAGAATTTATTGTTGTTTGAAATAAAAAGTGAACAGAGACTAAACATATCTTTCACTTCAATGCAAACAACCTTTGGTTGGTATATCACAAAAGACAGGTAGATGGCAAGGCAAAGCAGACGCACAATATATCAGACAAATCCACTCCACCAGGCTACAGGTGCTAATGCTCAATACTCAGTCTGTTACCTACCTTCCGTATATGAGCTTGCAGGCCTTTTAGTCCGTACATACGAAACACAAACCACAACTTCAAAGAGCGAAATCTCCTTCCTAGAGGAATCTGCCAATGCTGGGGGATGAAGATATAAAAGCAGACAGTGCTATAACATTTGCATTATTATAGATATTATGGTCTTTTATAAAAAAAAAAATTCTCCTACCCTGTAATCTGTGACCAGCCCTGTTAAAAAAAAAAAAAAAAAAAAAAAAACATAACACTAATGATGAAAAGCTGAAGCAATAATAAAAGTTTGCATTCAAATATCAGGTGAATAACAATCTAGCCCATTTGGGTTGATGTCTTTATTTGCACCAGACAGTAATTTCTGCTGAAACTCCAACAGAGGTTTAGAGTTCATTATAACTGTTTTTCAGAGTCCAGGTGTTATTCCTTGCCCATGTGCCCACCTCCTCTGTCTTACTGATCACAGCACTGTCACTCCTCGCTGCCAGGTAGCTGATCTCTGCAGAATGGAGGCCCTGGGTTAGCTTCAGCTAATAAGCACTAATCAGATTGAAGAGTCCAGCTTTTCACAAGATGCCTTGGTGTGGTGGGTGCTGGCTGTATCTGCCTCTCACACAAATTATAGTGCAAATCTGAGCCCATCTGGAAACTAAGACAATGCAAAGCCTCCCCACAGAGCAAGAAACAGATTTATATCCACAGAGACAAAGCATAATATTGTCAAATCTGCCCATAGTGTTAATGATTTTAAAAGACGTGCAGTAAAAGTTATGGATTTAACAAGGATTTATGTGTTCTATTCCCATCTAAAAGGGGAGAATACATATGTGCATTTTCTAAATTCTCCTCAGGTGTGAGTGTGTGCGTGAATGGTTGGTTTTCCTGTTTGTCTCTGTGTTGCCCTGCGATGGACTTATGACCTGTCCAGAGTATACCCCGCCTCTTGCCTGTTGACAGCTGGAGATAGGCACCAGCAACCCTTGCGACCCCAGTAAGGAGAAGCGTACGGAAAATGGATGGATGGATGTTATACCACACAAGGAGATGAGCAGAGCTTCTTTCTAATCAATCCCTGATTTAAAGGTATGGTGGAGGATCTTTGTGAATCTTTGAAAAGACCCGCCCTTTCCACTTAAAAAAAAAAGATGCACATGCACAACACTGTACCTGCTCCCGAGAGGAAACGTCTATTGAATGTGTGTGAGAGCATGTACAAGCCCATTTCTCCTCCTGCACGCTCTATTTAAAAGCTGCTGTTTGTATCACAATCGAAGATTTGCAATTTTTCACTATGTCAGACTCACCAAAGGTAAGTGAAAATGTGGCCAAGCACGTAAGACGGCCTTACGTAAACATATCACCAGAATGATTGACAATTAGGAGGACCACTTATTTTGATGATCCATGAAAAAGAACATCCTCCACTAAAACTTTAAGCATCTTCACAACTTGATCCCTGACCTGTCTGCTGCGTTTAATGACACAGTTTGTTCATTCTAGCAAATCATTGATGCCTTTGCATAACACCTTTATTTGGGTTAAAGTACATAGTTCAACTTCACTTATTATTTTGCTGAGTCTTAGAAAGTGTTTAGTGGATTAAAGAAAAAAGGGCAAAATATAAATGGATGCTACATTTTACGGATTCTATTACTCATAAAAACTGAACATTATATAACATTTCCCCACTACCAAATTAGACTAGACTATTTTAGCCCCTGTCACACCTTGACGATTTAGACAGCGTATGCCTGACGTATAAAAAATCTGGCAAAAGCCATAAGTTACAGGTAAGTTATCTGATCATTGACATACGTTAAGTCTCACTTATCCAAAACCTATAATACTTTTTGCATAACCTATCAAGAACTTAGCTCCAACACATATCAATGTATTTTAAGTGTCATAGATGACCGATTAACACGTTTCTAACTTACAGGTACTGTATAATGGCGTATTTGCAGCGTTGTGGTGTAATCGGGGGTCACAGGAGAAAACCGTCAGTGCTCCTCCAGACTTAAGCCCCATTTGCACTAACCTTTTGAAAACCGATCTGTGCCCAGTTCAGACCGAGCTTAGATCAGTTAACCATGGCGAGCTCGGTTCCTTACAACCATTTACACACCACACTAGTGACGATCTACGGTACTACTGTTCTGTAGAGGTAAACAAGCAAAAACATGGCGTAGCATGTAACATTCAGGAAGTTTGGTTATAATTGTGATATTTCATTGTTTGCGGAGAGTCAGGCGAATAAGGCAGCCTTTAGTGAATTGACAAACGATAGTCTAATCAGAGCTTACAGATGCAGGAAAGGTCTGCTCATGCACTCTTTGTTATCTGAGAACTGAGCCAGAACTGAGCCGTTGCTGAGCCCTACTGATGAACTAATATAATGTTAAGCGCAGTTTGGTAGTGTCTGGCTCGGTCCGGTTCAGTTTTACATGCCATTTACACTCAACAGTTATCATATCTCGGCAAAATTACAATAGTGTATTGTAATTGAGGCTTTCATCTCTATCATAGGGTGAGTGAGAAGGTGAGTGTGATGCATCCTCCCTGCGTTCACACACACGGCCACAACCAACAAACTTCCTAGCAGACATGACGCTGAATCTGCTACGACTGCAAACCTTCTTTCTTTTTTTTCTTTTTAGCTATTTATTTTTTTTTTTTTTTGGTGGGGCGCATTGCTGCTCCCCTCAGGAGACTGCCTTGTGATATTTCAGAGACATTACACTGCTGTACGTTATGCATAGGTTAGAGTGTCGTTAGACATAAGTTGTGGACTCATTATGAATACTCTATGTATATGCCCAAAACTGAAAAACTACATAGAAAGCTCAGAATATGCCAGCGTTTTAGAAGATTCTGGGACGTCAGGCATACGCATGCTAAATCGTCAATGTGTGACAGCACTAGCACTAGATTACCCAAAAATACACAACGTTTGTGGATTGTGAATAACAAAATGCTAAATATTCAAATTGCACTGCAAAGCACTGCAAAGCCAAATATTGCATAATGATTCTTCAGAAATCATTAAAATGCTGATGTATTATCATTTCATCCTTAAGAAAATTTGCCTAAAGGAGAAATGAAATGGTCTTAATTTGTGTTATGATGATGAAAGATTATTTTCACTCTACCTGATTCCTGGTTTTCATGTTTCAGGTAGAGCGGTTCCATTTTAAAAGCTCCAATGATGTCCGTTCTCTCCTTCACCCTGTCAATAATCAAAGAAAACATCTTTTTCAGGAAATCCACACATTTGTTTTTAATTCTTATAAACACTGCATGAAAAGTGGGATTTTCGTCAATATGCGGCACTGTAGATTGTCGTGGAACTTCAGGTTAGCGGCAGTTTACGACAATTTGCAGGCTTCGCCGAAAACTCCCGTAAATTGTCAGAAATTGACGTGGACTCTCTTAGGCAGTGTTCCCCCCATGCCTCCCCCCCATGGAATTCTAGGGGAGGCTTTAACATGTAAATGAACATGCTGTGAGCTATACAAATGCAAATCAGGGTTGCAGGGGGGGTTTTACTAGGTAAGAATACAAAGAGATCAGGCTCAGTATAGCCTCTTACATTTTAGCTTGAATTGATTTATTTAATTAAAGTATAGAGACCAAAACAGATCTTTTAAGATAAAAAATAAAATGTTGTCTGTCAATATACTCAATTCACAATTACTTAAGTGGAAAAGTTTCAAGAAATGAGTCTGAGATGATTCACTTTATAACATGGCGCATTATCCTGTTGGAAGTAGCCATCAGAAGATTGGTACACTGTGGTCATAAGGTCCGGCCAGGTCAAGATCCGCAATTGCAATCGCACCAAACAGGAAAAAGAACATCGACAAATTCCGGTTCGTCAAATTAAAATATAGCAGCAACAGATCGGTGACTAGAAATTATAGCACAATTCTTATATATATATATATATATATATATATATATATATATATATATATATATATATATATATATATATATATATAAAAAAAAAAAACTAACACCGTTTATTTAAATGATTGGATCCAAACTATTGGTTATTCACCAACGAGGAAGCAGATTTCTCATCTCCATCAAAATATTTATTTTATACCGAGGGACTTAAACTTTAATCAAATCCATTCAAAAGAAACGTCTTATTACAGGAATGAAAAGAGATGCTGAGTTTGGAAGTAGTGAACAAGTTCATTAAAAAAAAAGCAGTTTTGAATTATCCTTATCCCCGTTACAAAAATCTACAAAAATATAAATATATATTTGGGCAGAAACTGAACATATGCTGGATGATGGTGGGATTTTTTTAATATGTCATATTAAATTAAGCGCTCACAGGGTTCATACAGGAATGAGTGACTCTAATTTAATGCTATTTTAATGCTATTTGAAATGATTTTAATGCCATCAACAAGAACCATGTACACAAGTTATTAGTGTACATGAAATATGAAGGAGCTGTAAGCAGAGTTCCATGACTCCTGTATGTATGTAAACACACACACACACATATATATACGTATATATATATCCTCTAGCTTTTTCTCCGCCTGGAGCGATATAATATATCTGACGAAATTGTTTTTATAAGCATTTTTTATTAAAGAATTATAAATACTTCGATAAACATATTTAAATAATTTTAGTGCCAATTAAGGCCTTGATTTAAAAAAAAAAAAAAAGAATGATTTTTTAATTATTTTTATTGATCCGCGGACACCCTGGTTCATCTCGCGCATGCTCTGTACGATCTCCAAGAAACTCAGAGCGGCGCGGCTGGATCCACAGTGGAGGATGGATGCTTTGCTTTGTGCAGGCGGTCAGGAGCGGAGAATGTGGGATTTCAGGGTCAAACTCCTCTTGGACGCGATGGCGACTCTGCATCGAACAAGACGAACTCAAAGAAGAGATGCTAGCGGTAAATATATGTTCGATTACTGCCTGCTAGGCTAAAAGCAGCCTAGCCCAAGCTATGGCTAATAGCAGCCTAGCTATTAGCCTATCTAGCCTAGCCTTGCAAGAACAAGCTTTATTAAAGTGCATTTTTTGTGATTTACAGGAAGCAGTACGCCGTCTTCACAACTCGGAGACTAATTGCAGGCGCTATGAACCGGAGCAAGGGTAAGATTTAAAGAATATGCTTTCATTCTGCGGTAAAAGGTAATGGATACGGATAGATACCGATCATAGCTTTACATTTTGTTTTCACAGACCTCCTATTTGCTCGGAGCCATAATCAGCAAGTCCAGATTTGCACGATGTTGATAAAGACGACATTGTGTGTAAGTGACTTGTTTTAATGTTTTCTCCTTCCTTGTTACTGTAACTTGCGTTTGATTTTTTATTTATACCACTCTCATTTAATTGTTTTCCAGCTGCCTGTAAGACGTATTTTCAGATGCAGGAGCTTCAGATATACGCAGCCAGCCAACACGCTGCGTGCGGAGGCTATCTGCTCGGAGTCGGGCCAGAAGAAAGAGGTGTTAAAGAAAAATGATTATTTTAGTCTTTAATACAGTTAATCTTATGGCATGTGTAAACAGTCTCACTTGAACATATTTCTTAATTTTGAACAAGGTTGTGTTAATGATTTAAAACTAGGCTATTGAGGGGTAAGTATTTAGAGCACCAGGCCATAAAATTAGTATCTCCTGAAGGCGAACATCATTTAAGCCTGCAGGAGAGATTTCTGCTTGGTTTACAGAAGGTCAAAAGTCTTCCAGAATAAACAACCAGGGATGGTGTGAAACTGAATCAGGAAAAAGGCCCCCGCATTCCACATCAATTCTGTGGAAGCTTATCTTGTGTTTTATGACTTTAAGAATTCTAGATGCCAGGACAAGTTTTCCGCCTTTTCTTGTTAAAACAGCCTTATTTGAATAAATTAAATACAAGAGGATAAAGCTTTCTACATAGAAGTAAAAAATCAGATTTGCTCTTGCAAACTCTCCAAAGATGTCTTGTACGTCTTTGCTTTCTCCTATGTCAGGTAATTGAATGTATGTCTCCGTTGTTCTGCAGTTTCTGGTGTAAGTTTGTGCATTGTCTTATTTTTAGGTTTATGCATTGTCTTATATTGGATTAAACTCTGTAATTCTGTGACGTCAACACGCAATGTTGGTTTTTATTAGCACACGTAGCCCGCCGAGTGGACCTGGGAAAGGAAGAATGAAAAGCCAACCTTTTTCCAAAGTTAACTATGTTAGAATATTTTCTTCCTTAACAGAGGGAAAGACTTTATTTGGTGACTATTTTTCAGGTGCATTAATAGATGTGTTGTGTCCATACACAGTGCGCTGATTCATTGTTTTTTTTTTTTCAGCTGCTGAAAGCGAGGCAGAGTGTGCTAGCAGATGAGGAAGTGGAACTCTGGAAGTCCGCCTTCCTCGGCGGTGTCTCTGGATGGATTGTACGGTCGCCGCCATTTCGTAGGCCGGATCTCACTGAACTCTGTGTTAAGCTGCAGTCCCGGTTAGAAGCGATGCCTTAGTACAGGGCCACGCACAGTAGGCGTCTGCACATCGGACCTGCCTCGGAGGGAATGCTGCCAGTTACCTCCAACCCCGAGGAAGCAAACGGACCGTTCACGGACTTTTAATTTTTAGAAACGCATGTGTTTGGATACGCGTTGTATATAGTTGTGTGTGTTTTAATAAAGCTCTTTCTTTGCATAAACAGCTTCCTGGCAAATGTTCATTTCCTGTATAAATTCATTCATGTCCTTGATGGTAGCATAATAATTGTGTAGTAGTGTAGGATAACATAAATACACACCATATGAATGAATAAATATATGAATGAATAAATAAATATATATATATATATATATATATATTTATATATATATATATATATATATATATATATATATATATATATATATGAATAAATATATATATGTAAATTTATATGTAAATATATATATATGCCAACCAATCACGAGCGACTTTACTTGTTTAAAAAGAAGTGGTTCCGTCCAATACTCAGTGAGAAAATTAAAGCCTGGCGTGGCCACGTGTGGTTTTGCTGCCAATCACGAGCGATTTCATTTGTTTGAGAATAGTGGTTTCAGCCAATACTGAGAAGGTTATTCAAGCCAGACCTGGCCAGCCGCCCGGGTTTGCTGCATTCATATGCTAATTAGGGCCATTAGTACAGCTGATCGCTCTCCACATACGTCATGGTACGTTTCCGACAATTTGTGGCACGACAAACGCGGACAAGCACGGGTTGCAAATTGTCGGAAACTGACGAAAATCAGGCAGATCTGCGGGAGTTTACGGGGGTTTACGGGGACGAAAATCTCACTTTTCATGCAGTGAAAGTTAAATTCTCAAACTCTTAACTGTTGAATATAAACTGTGATTATGTGTAGCATCTGTCTTGGACTGAACATCTGTCATTAACCTCTGTATGTTAATTTTGGGATAAATCAAGTGAGCTCCATGCAAGTGCTTTTGGAGCAAATAGTTTTACAACAAATGATACAGCTTAGGCTATTTCTACTACCAAATGCCATATTAGTCAGTGAAAGGACTCTGTTATATTTCTTAACTTTTCTTTATTCAGAAGTTTACATAACTTTTCATCCCTGAAGATTTTGTATATTTAAAATCCTTTATTAGACCCTGTTTTACGGTCTCAAATATCAACTTAAGTACTCTAAACTAGATATCCTGCAAATCCTAAAATGGGGACTTTGTTATTCCAATATTTTCTAATTGGATATGTACGGTGGCTGAGAAGTGCAAAACACATTTTCACTTCAAAAACACATTAACAAATGAAAAACACAATAACATTTGAAGAAACAAAATTATATTTTATGAAACAAATGTATTTTTGAAAAAAAAAAGTTTAAATTTTAAAAACAAATTTACATTTTAGCAAACAAATTTACATTTTAGGAAACAAATTCACATTTTAAAAGTTTCATTTTAGAGAAAAAAAAATACATTATAGGGAAACAAATTTACATCTAAAAAAAATTGACCGTTCGGAAACACTTGTACAAGTGCAAAGATAAAACTGCAAGCGGCAAAACACAGTTACATAGCCAAAAACAAATTAACAAAAGACGGCTACACGGAAAGGGAATGTCCCAGTGGCCGGATGTGACGTCACGATTACCCTGACTTGTAGTACAGCTCCATCTGTAGTCCTCCTGCTTCACGTGAAAAGTCAGCGGCGATTTTATTATTGTGGAGCAAATTTCAGCCATTACACAATTACACCATTTTGTTCTTCGTGCGGACGGTCTCTGGAACCTTTACGGGTCACGGACCAGGTGGCAGGACCACCGGAACTGCTGCGGGCTCTATGCACAGCTCCACTACTTCCTGAATTTAATGCAGCTCCTTTGTTTCCTGTCTTTCATTACTGGACGAACTGATTAATCCAGGTTTGTCTGGCCAGTTACTTAGGTCATACACACCTGGATTAATCAGTGCATCCAATCATGAAAGACAGGAAACAAAGGAGCTGCATTAAATTCAGGAAGTAGTGGAGCTGTGCATAGAGCCTGTTGAGCTCGGCCCTGCAGCTTGGTCCTGCCATCTGGTCCGTGTCCCATAAAACTTCCAGAGACCACAATAAGGGCAAAACATTGTTCGGTTAGCGTAAACTTAAGAAAAACAGCTTCAGTGCAATTCTTTCCATCTAAAATCGCAGCTGACTTTTCACGTGAAGCAGGAGGACTACAGATTGTGCTGTTTGTACTACAAGTCAGGGTAATCGTGACGTCACATCCGGCCACTGGGACATTCCCTTTCCGTGTAGCCGTCTTTTGTTAATATGTTTTTGGCTATGTAAATGTGTTTTGCCGCTTGCAGTTTTGTCTTTGCACTTGTACAAGTGTTTCCGAACGGTCAATTTTTTTTTTAGATGTAAATTTGTTTCCCTATAATGTATATTTTTTCTCTAAAATGAAACTTTCTCTCACCTAAAATCTAACTTTATTTAAAATGTGAATTTGTTTCCTAAAATGTACATTGTTTTTAAAAATTGTAACTTTTTTTTTCAAAAATACATTTGTTTCATAAAATATAATTTTGTTTCTTCAAATGTTATTTTGTTTTTTATTTGTTAATGTGTTTTTGAATTGTAAATGTGTTTTTAAAAATTTTAACTTTTTTTTTCAAAAATACATTTGTTTCATAAAATATAATTTTGTTTCTTCAAATGTTATTTTGTTTTTTATTTGTTAATGTGTTTTTGAATTGTAAATGTGTTTTTAAAAATTTTAACTTTTTTTTTCAAAAATACATTTGTTTCATAAAATATAATTTTGTTTCTTCAAATGTTATTTTGTTTTTTATTTGTTAATGTGTTTTTGAATTGTAAATGTGTTTTGCACTTCTCAGCCACCGTAGATATGGGAATAAAGCAGATTTTTGTTTAAATGCCTATTATCATAAAAACCTGAAGAAATCCATTTTACTTTCCTAATTATCCATTGATTTCTGGTCATTTTATATATAATTACACTGCAAAAATATAAGCTTTTTTTTGCTATGGGAAAATTTCCTTTAGAAGTCTTGTTTGAAGCCATTTATATCCTGTAGAAAGCAACTCTTATTGTTGGTGCTGACAGGGGGGCCAGGTGGAAGACGTAGTTCTATTTTTACAGTGCAAATGATAAAGGTGTAGATGGATATCAGTTCTCATTGTTGCTTCAGGGGCCCATGAGTCACAGCAAAGGTAAACTGGGAAATAATTTGACAACCAATATGAAAAACGACTCTCTAAAAGTAGTAGGGTAATGTTCCTTTTTGTATAAGATCTTTCAATCAGCTACATGTTTAATCCATTAATTCTAAATCCTTCACATTGTATTAACAAAATAAGTATGGTGCAAACTTACCACATTGCAGAGCAGTCAAAGTTGACTAAAAGCCATTTGTGTGGATTGAAGTTGAAAGAGTCTGCATACTTTAAAGTAAAAAAAACAAAATCAGTTATTGTACAGCAAAGTAACTGATTCACTTAGATTGTAGCGTATAAAGTTATTCACACCCGCTATAGCATTATGTACAATGTTTCACATTACATCCCCAAATTTAAATGTATAGAATAGAATTTTGTATAGAAAGGAGTCCATAAAAGGAAAAAAGTATACAAATTCTACAAACATTATTTAGAAAAGTGTCTTTCATTTGTATTCAGCCACTTTTACTGATACCCGAAAAATAATCCACGTCTTTAGAAGTCAGCAAAGTAATTATTTAAGTAATGTATTCTGAAATTCAGCTGCTTTGTGTTCTTTTTTAGCAAACATTATAGGTCAAACCAGATCATAGAACACCATCAGTCACTTCAATTCACTATACATTTTATATAGAAAGTATATAATTATAGTATATAAACTGAACAGAATGGAATTATGCTGTGGGGCTGCCTCTTCTTTCACAGGACAAGGGAATTTGGTCAATGGAAGATGAGCTAAATAAAAATAAATCCTGTTGGAGACTGTTAAATATTTAAGAAGTTTCAGATTTCATAAAAATACTCTTTTTTTTTTTTTTTTCTTTTTTTTAGAATTAACTTTTTCATTGCACTTTCAAAGTACAAATCAATGAAATGAACTTAGGGACCCAGAGTTGCAGTCCGTGGGAGTGGGGCTTAAACTCAGAATCTTTGGGACCCAAGCGCAATGCCCTAACCAGTAGGATTTAAAATCCAATCAAGTATGTTGCAACGCGCATGGTGATTTCTACAGACCCTCTTAAACTTATAAAGCAAATAGATATAATTGTTGTTTTAAAAAAAAAATCTAAATAATCATTATCTATCTACTGGTTGCAGAGAAAACCATGTTGCCATCATTAGTATCTAGACTAAAGGGAACCAAACTTATTTGAAATGCAAAAGAGAAGCATCCAGCATGCAGCTTAAGGAGTGCACCAAATATCAGCCCTTCCTTACTGCTGCCTTCAAAGAAAGATGAGTTTTTCCTAATCTCCTTCCATCTTTTTCTTATCTGTCTTTCGTAATATCCTTTTCTCTACCTCCGCAGATGCAATAACACCATTCAGAGACAATGCGATTCAGACTCATGGCTGACAGTTGAAATGCTGACTGACTCCCCTTGTCCATTTCACATATCCTAGCAACCAGCCAGGCAGCCAGGTGTCCTTTCATCCAGAAAGTACCATGATTCTACCTTATTTGTTCATCCAACACTGTTAAATACAACTTGATGTGTTGTGATGTTTTCTTTACAGCAATTTGATAAAAAAAAAAAATAGACTTAAAATGAATACTGCAAACTGGAATAACTAGTAAATCACAGCAAGAGAGCAAAAGAATCCTTAAGCCTATTTTCCTTCAACCTGTTGAAGAAAAGATGAAAAAACTGTTGGGGCTTTTAACGTCAACACTGCCTTCTCCTATCTCCTTACCACCGCTCTTTGAACTGGTGTGTCCAATAAACAGTGATATATAAAGGTCCAATGCTGCCTCAGGAAATTACTTTGCCCTTATCTCTGCGTCTCTACACAGCGTGGGGAGCAACAGCTGCTTGCGTAGCCTCAAAAGGCAGATTGATGCTCCTGCATCTTATGCCGATTGTTCTGTCCGTTGCTCTGTCTAGCATGCTTCCTCCTTGACATTAACATTATGCTCTTTTCAAGGGCTATGATGTTAGTGTTTTGTCACATGGATCGAATGTGAGATAATTCTGAGGCAACTGAGCAGAAAGTGGTTTTCCTTTTTGGTCAGAACAGCACATCTCTATGAAGGTGTATGTATATTCTTTTTGGGACCATGACGTAAGAATGGTAAATTTGTAGATATCCTAACACTTTGTTTTTCTTTCCTCCCAGGCTTTTGTTTCATATAGATAAGATTAAGTCATGCAAAACTGGTGATTGATTTTTTTACTACATGGTGCCTTGCATTCATGTCGTACAGCTTGTACAAGGACAGATACCATCAGATTACAACCACAAGTCTTAATGTACTGTATCACATTGAGATTTGATATGATGGACTAAAAGTAGTGCATAATGATGAATTGGAAGGAAAATTATTCAATAATTCATTTTGGTGGAGCTTCTGTCAATTTTTGTTTTAAAACAAGTTATGCAACAATAACTGCTACAGTACAATTGTTTTAAGATATTTCGCTGATAGTTTTTCACATCAGATATGGAGGACCTGTGAATAACATTTATGAGGTCACATTAAAGGTTTTCAAACTGATTGAGGCCTGGTATTTGTACATGAATAGACTTTCAGCACCTCCTGGTGTACAGTAAGTTCAGTATTGTACTAGATCAATAGGCGAACATCTGCGCCAGTCTTAAGTACTATCCTTTCTCCTTGAAGTACTCTAAACATTTCTTTCTTCCTGGAGATCCAGGTATTCAGCTCCAACTAATGCTGCGATGCTCAAACATTTATTTTTTGTTTGTTTTTTAAGCGGAGAAAGTGTTTTTACGTGTTAGTTTTCTGTGGCAGGCATTGTTTTGCATGTGCTTCAGAAATGTAATTTTTTCTCTAAATTGAAAGATTCATTTCAGTTTATTTATATAGTGTCAATTCACATCACCTCTCATCTTAAGGCACTTTACAGAGACAATTCAACCAGATCATAGGCAGACTGATTCAAAGTTTTCTATCTAAGGAAAACCAGTTGATTGCATTAATTCATTGACTTGAAGGCAATCCCTCACACCAGGCATGCTTATAGCGATAGTGGAGAGGAAAAACTCCTTTTTCAACCTGAAGAAACCTCCAACAGAGCCCGGCTCAGTGTAAGCGGCCATGTATTGAGGCCGACTGGGTTCAAGCAGAGAGAAGCAGACATAGAAACAGAAGCAGAGGTACAAAAGCTAACTGTCAATCAGCTCCTCATGCAGCCCTGTCTAGGAAACACACAGCCAGGCAGACGAGCTCTGTGCCAGGTCCCATATCAGAGCACCTTCTTACATGTTTGCTGTGTACCCAACATGGCTTGTGGCAAACTATATACAGGACTATTTAACTGATCTGCCGATTATTGAGGGATCTTTTTTATGTCTAACTTTCTACTAATACTCTTGTAGCGTTGATAGACACCTGGTACTGTAAATAGCAGTACAGTAGATGCCTACAGCTTCTGCAGCCAAAATGAGCCACTTGGCCACTTCTTCTTCTTCTCTAGTGACTGGTCAGTCTGTTCAGGTTGAAAATTTGGCCTTAATAAGATTTTTTCATAACCTTTCTATATCATCAGAAGATAGACACAAAGTGGCCTTTTAAACTAAATCTGCTTTTTAAGTCTTTATTTCTGTCCTTGGGTGCGGTTGTTCTTCAAGATGCTGTCCGTTCTTTAATGTTCTCAAACAAACCTCTCAGGCTTTCAGCAGCTGTATCCATCATGAGATTAAATAGCATTCAGGTGAATTCTACTTACAAATAAGTGTACTTAAATATGACAAAATAGTGTGAGAATTTGTTGCACTGGATTTTTTTACGAATATCAGAACCCAAAGGGTTGAATATAAATGCATGCTATGTGTAAAAACTTATTCAATGCATTTTTTCTGTGACTTTTTACATGACAGACTACTATAATACATTGAATTTTGTTATTATAAAATGACAGAATGTGAAAAAAAGTCCATACTTTTGCAGAGCAAATGAACCAAGCCATAATACTTTATGATGATGAGGATTTTTACTCACCTCAATGCCATTCAGTAAAGGTCTGAATTCAGGGCAGATAAAGGCACTCCCAGCATAAGCTGCATCAATGTGCATCCACATGTTTTCCTTATTACCTAACAAGAAAAAGAAATAAGAGGTTAGCATAATCTTTTGAAAAACAAATTGGGTTGTTCTTTTTAATAATCTGAAGAATACAAAATCCTGAGCCTGAATAACTAACCATCATGGAGTTATAACCACGAAAAACAACATCTTATATTTGTTGAGATTGTGTTTCGAAAATGTAACATATTTCAATTTCCTTGTTTGTTTTCATCTAGATTTTTATTGCAAATCCCCATTATTCTAATAATGTTAGATGAAGCCATCAGAGCCCATGAATAATCCAAGAGAATTTATTGACTTACATAGGGGCCCCAGCTCCATGATACGATCAAAAGCGCATGATGGTGTGGTGCCAAGAGTGGCGCAAAACTGAAATACACACATATATTGACCATCAAAATATTGAAGTCTTTGGTTTCTCATTTTTGTTTCTTCATTTTATGACCTGAAAACAACAACAAAAACAAAATAAAAAAAACTATATAACCACTTATTTAATTATGCTCTCTTCAGATTAGATAAAGATCTGCTTTTATTCTTGGATAACAGGACAACTAAGGCTTCCCTGCTTCTAACTGATCTCGATCTGTGGCTCCAGATGAGACTAGGGTTATTGCTCCTAACGAGATAGACATACAACGGTTCAAACAGAAACAATGTTATCTTTCAGCAGAAGCCTTGGGTGCATGGGTCAAATTATATCACCATGGCTGCCAGCTAAAACAGCCACATATATGCTAGCTCTAGGATATGGTGAATGTGGATGTGTTTTTTGCTGTTTACATAAAACGGGATGAGTCCAGCTGCTTTGTCTTCTTCCACCATTTTTCTCAGCATTTCCTCTCTAACAGAGTAGTCTTCATCAGTAGGAACCTTCCTCATCATGATTGCTCCAATCAGGGCTGCTCGCTCCACAGAGGAATGAGCCTGCAGAGAAAAGGGGATTTTTTTTACATTTAAAATATAAGCACATATGGTAAAAAAAAAAAAAAACTTATCCCTTCTTCCTTTTCTAGGACCTTGCAAAATCAAGTCATGATCTTCCAAAGCTTTTGCAGAATGGAATAAAAATAAGTTAGGAGAAAATTACTATAGTTTTCTCTCCATGTTCATTTTGGGATTACATTTTTAATCCCTCTTTGAGTGAGAATCCACTATTCAATGCTATTAGGTACCTGAAGAAGATAAAATGATTTGACCAATTTAAAAATTATATAAAAAAAACACTGCTGTGCAAACCATATGAATTTTCCACCTTAGGGTTAAAACAAATGTATTTTTAAAAAAACACTCCCGTGAATACAATTATACTAATGTAATTTCTGCTTACTGGTAATTTACGACACAGGAGTCTGTATAACCAGCTGGCATAAGTGAACAGATTCCAACTAAGATTTGAAAGACTTCGCAATGCATTAGAGCTAAACTCTCCATGTTTGAGAGAAATTTTTGTGATTAATTTGAAGCCCTAACCGATGTTACCAAAACTAAAGCATAGTGAAGATGGCAGCGGTTACCCTTTCATCTTTAATCAATATGAATAGGTTTGATTTCCTCTTTGAACTTTTTCATTTGTTTGGTTTTCAGGCAATGTCTATCAACTGTAAATTGACTAAATTATGTATTCTGCATTCATCCCTTTTAATAATCGTGTTAATAGTCAGTATATTATCCATGCATGATAACTCAGACTTTTTTAGTTTAGCAGACCATTTTTTTATTTTGACTTTAAAGCAACTGGAAACAAACTTGGTTTCAAAGCCCCAGGTATCAAAACTGCATATTTTTGTCAAAAATTCACATTGAGCAAAGCTCACTATGAAAGCAATGATTTCTCAAGATAAACACATAACGTCATCAAATTATTTCTGACTTGAGTTAATTAAACTTATGCCTTGTGTGATACCACATGCAAAAAGCACATAAGGGCTTGTTTCATTTTTTTCCCATTAATTTAATAACCATCAACAACAAATGAGAGGAACAAGTAAAAAAAAAAAAAAAAAAAAAAAAAAAAAAAAAAAAAAAAAAACAACAACAACAACAACAGTTCAGACAGTTGTAGACATGTCAAACTATAACTGACCTGAATTTGATTAATTATCAGAAATGTTTAAAGCTTTAACAAGGGACTTTATCCATGTCAGATTGAACACATATTGAACAGTAAATGTTGCTCATATTCTTCATCAGTCTAAAGCCGTGGTTCTCAAAGTGTGTGGCGCGACCCACTGGTGGGGAATTGAGACGTGACAGGTGGGGCGCGCCAAGTTCCGGTGTGTGTGTGTGTGTGTGACTATAAATGTAGAACGTGTGAGAGCAAACTGTCCTTATAGCTGTATGTTGCCGCTTTTTAGACCAATCAAACCCACAAAGTAATCATTACTAGCCTACATGCAGTCTAATTAAAAGAACATTAGAAAAATTTCACCTGGAACTGAAGTGCCAAAATAATGATTGACGTGACGTCGGCATATTATTTGTAACGGAATAAACTTTCGCGCCCCAGTGTTGCCAACTCAGCGACTTTGTCGCTATATTTCAGACCCCTCCAGCGACTCTTTATCAAAAAAGCGACTAGCGACAAATTAGCGACTTTTGGAGACTCTTACGTGAAAGCACGTATCGTTCCTTTTCTTGTCCTCCAGCGGCAGGTGCTGCCGTGGGGCGCCTAACCCATCCCCACCCCGTTCTCCCCCGCTATCACAGGAGTCCCTCTCAGCGCTGCAGAGACACAGCATGTTTACCCTCAGCGTCCAGACTGCAAATAAAGCGCACGTGCGCCGGGATTGACGGCGCAGGTTGATCATAAATAACTGAATTTGAAATATTTTATCTTAAATAAATAGGACCAGTTTATTGAAATGACGTCTGACTCCACCCTGAAGCTCAGGTTTAATGCTCAGACTAATAGTGAATTCTGGTTTGGAGTGGAGAGGGAGTATCCACTCATCGGGCAGAGAGCTGTGTGCATTCTTCTTCCCTTTGCCACATCATATCTCTGTGAGATGGGCTTTTCAACTGTTGCTTCACTGAAAACAAAATACAGATCTCAGCTGAACATTGAGCATGACTTGAGAGTGGCAGTATCAAGCCTGCAACCCCGTTTTGAGAAACTGTGCAATGCAAAACAGGCTCAATGCAGCCACTAATGCAGGGATAAATAGACCTGTATTGCCAGATGGATTTCACTTCTTTTCTTTTATTAACAGATTGCAGAGTGGCACTTAAATTTTTTCTATCTTTGAGCTTGATACAAATTTTGACACAGCTGCATTTTTATTTTCTTTATTTTTGAGCTTGCTGTTATTTGATGTAGATAGTTTGTATTTAGATACTACTTGTTACTTCAATAAAATTGGAACATTTTAAGATTGTTGCATATTTCATTAGCATTGTGTTGGGGCGATGGGGACAGGCGGGGCTTGAAAATTCCCTCTTGTCCAAAGTGGGGAATGACAGAAAAAGTTTGAGAACCACTGGTCTAAAGAAAGTGAGAGGAAAAGTCTATTAATCAGGCAAAACATTAAACCTTCATTAAACATGCAATAAACATATTCCTCCTAATTGTGCAATGTTTTGTTTGACATAAAATGTTCCAATTGAACATTTTTTTGCCTGATTTTTTATTGAAGCAATCCGAAACTGTGTACGTAAAGCCTCCATGGAAGAAAGAGCACCTCTTTTGACCAGCAGTTGACGAGCATGAGCTGGATCCCTGCTAAAGGTCTGCGTTGCCTTCAGGCAACTTCATAATCCAATCACAGAGTCAGTCTGGTTTCAGACTTGATCAGTGATAGCTCCTGCCTCACTGGCCCTCTGCCCTCATTTTTTTTTTTTTACTCAGTGACGCATGTTACAATGAAAGATGATGACTTGTTAGATAAAAAAACAAACAAAAAAAAAACTGTCACATACATTTATAGGTGCACGATTGGGTTCTCTTTTGTTTCACACTATATGAACTTAAATGACTTGATGTAAAGTTCTCAGACTTTGTGAGTTTTAAGACCTTGTCTAATCAGGCTAAAATGGTTGGAACAATTTCCAGATTTTTGATGCACATTAGCCTGGAATCCTGTCTCTTGTATGACTCAGTGTATGTAAAAGACTGAACAATCTGGTGAGAAAGGCCGTTCCTGTCCTAGACCACGCTCTGGACTCAGCGGAGGAAATGGTGGAGAGGAGGGTGCTGTCCAAGCTTACATCCATCATGGACAACACCTTCCACCCTCTGCACCGGACTGTAGAGGAGCTGAGCAACTCCTTTAGTAAAAGACTTTTACACTGTTTGTAAAAAGGAGCGCTACTGTAGGTTATTCATCCCTGCTGCAACCAGACTCTACAATGTGGCACTAACACCCTGTGCAATAACCTGTTTCTCTATAGTTGACACCCAGTGCAATAACTATATATATAAATATCCATCCATCCATCCATCCATCCATCCATCCATCCATCCATCCATCCATCCATCCATCCATCCATCCATCCATCCATCCATCCATCCATCCATCCATCCATCCATCCATCCATCCATCCATCCATCCATCCAGGGGTAACAGCTTCAGTAGGGAGGCCCAGACGTCCCTCTCCCCAGCCGCTTCGGCCTGCTCCTTCAGGAGAACCCCAAGGCGCTCCTAAGCCAGCTGAGAAACATAGTCCCTCCAGCGTGTCCTGGGCCTCCCCCGGGCCTCTTCACGGTGGGACGTGCCCAAAACACCTCAACAGGGAGACATCAAGGAGGCAACCTAACCAGATGCCTCAGCCACCTCAACTGGCTCCTCTTGACGTGGAGGAGCAAAGGCTGTACTCTGAGTCTTCCCAGGATGACTGAGCTCCTCACCCTATCTCTAAGGGAGAGCCTGGACACACTACGAAAATCTAATTTCAGCCGCTTGTATGCGGGATCTTGTTCTTTCCGTCATGAGAGTAGGAACATCGACCGGTAAATCGAGAGCTTTGCTTTTTGGAAGTGGTGTAAAAAGTACACACATTTGTTACTTAAGTAGAAGTATAGATACTGCAGCTTAAAAACACTCTGGTTAAATCTGAAGTATCAACTTGACCTTTTTACTCACGTGAAAGTGAAAAAGTATGTGCTCCAAAAACTACTTAAAGTATAAAAGTATAAAGTAACCTTTAATAAAAACAGCCAGTTGCCACTATATGAACTTGAAAGCTCAATTTACGACTATTTGGAAAAATTCTTTGAGATAGGGCCAAGGATGAGGAAGGTCTTATTGGTCTCCGTCTCCATCTCCCAATACGCTCTCGCCTGTGTCCGACCTTTCAGATATTTTTAGATCTTTTTCTGAATCTGACATTGTAGCATGGCATACACAATTCACGTTTGCAGTTTGAAGAACACCTGCTTGCTTGTGATGATTTCCTTTAGCTAACCAATGAGTGTTTGCGTTATATTTCTCATCCAATTACACTCGTTTTCACTAGATGTGGATGGAGCCAATTATCTGCATTGGATGGCGACGTGAAAGAAATATTTATAAACATTAAACCGAAGCCAAGAGTAACGAGTTATGTTTTTTTTTTTACAAATATAAGGAATAGAAAATACAGATACTTGTGTGAATATGTAATGGGTAGAAGTCAGAACTAGGAAGAAAAATAAGTAATGGAGTAAAGTATAAATACCTAAAAAGTGTACTTAAGTACAGTAACAAAGTATTTGTACTTCGTTACTTGACACCTCTGCTTTTTGGCTCTTTCCCTTCACAACAACAGACCGTTTATATCATATGTACCTTTTTTCTTCCTTTGGCACCTGTGTCTTCTCTTTTGACTATCTGAGCTGATGTAATGAGTACATTTCTCCACTGTGAGATCAATAAATTTGATCAATCAATCAATCAATCAATCGAATCCTATAGAATTGAGGTAAACTGATTAAAAACAATGCGTCTGCCAAACATCATCACTTTTCTTAGCTCTTTGACTTACCTGCTCAGAAGTGTATGCCACAAGTTTAGAGAGGATGTCAGCTTCAGATGTTTTAGGATCTGTTGCCAGGACCCGTCGGATTGCCTTGCAGCGGGCAGCAAGCAAGGATATCAGGGTGGCTTCACTGGCTGTTCCCTGTTGGAGAGTTATAGGTATGCTGACATGGCTATTGCTTAAAAAAAAACAAGAAATATCTAGAAGCATTGCTATCTTTTCTGTGTACAAATGGGTCTCAATATAAAAAATTTAAATATGAGCGAGGATTTCCCCAGAAAAATCAGAGACTGGTGATAGATAATAAAGATGCTGTTAATAATACTTACTTTTAATTTACAGATTGATAAGTTAAGTAATATTGGATATTACACTGCCTGGCCAAAAAAAAGTTGCCACCTGGATTCAACTAAGCAATAGGTATGAGCCTCCTATTGGATAATTACTGCATGGGCGATTATCTTTCAGCTGGCAACAAGTTATTTAACCCCAACTGGTGCAATGACTTGCTTCTCATTTCCTAAACAACCATGTCGAAAGACACATCCCGTGGTCGTGGAAAAGATGTTAGTCTTTTTGAGAACGGTCAAATCATTGGCATGCATCAAGCAGAGAAAAGATGTAAAAGGATTGCAGAAACTACTAAAATTGGGTTAAGAACTGTCCAACGCATTATTAAAAACTGGAAGGATAGTTGGTACCCATCATCTTCAAGGAAGAAATGTGGCCGGAAAAAAATCCTGAATGATCGTGATCGGCAATCACATAAACCTGAGGTGATATCAAATCGAAGAAAAACAACAGTAGAGCTCAGGGCTATGCTTAATACTGAAAGTAAGAGCATTTCCACACGCACAATGCGAAGGGAACTCAAGGGATTGGGACTGAACAGAGGTGTAGCCATAAGAAAACCACTAATCAGAGAGGCTAACCGGAAAAAAAGTCTTCAATTTGCTAAGGAGCATAAAGATTGGACTGTGGAGCAATGGAAGAAGGTAATTTGGTCTGGTGAGTCCAGATTTACCCTGTTCCAGAGTGATGGGCGAATCAGGGTAAGAAGAGAGGCAGGTGAAGTGATGCACCCACCATACCTAGTGCCTACTGTACAAGCCTGTGGGGGCAGTGTTATGATCTGGGGTTGCTGCAGTTGGTCAGGTCTAGGTTCAGCAACTGTATGTGCTTAAAGAACACTGCAAAAAATCTAAATCTATATAAGTCATTTTTTCTTAAAATAAATGATTTTGTTCTTGAAATGAGGAGGTAAAAGAAACATTTTGCCAATGGAACAAGACAATTTACACTTAAAATAACTTAAAATAAGAAAACACAATTGCATTGTCTTATTTCAAGTGCATATTATCTAATTTTCTTATTTTAAGAGTAAAATTACTCATTCCATTGGCAAACTATCTCATTTACCTACTCAAATTAAGGGTGAATACACTTAATTTAAGAAATTTTTACTTATTTCTAGATCGTTTTTTGCAGTGAATGAGGTCAACTGACTACCTGAATATACTGAATGACCAGATTATTCCATAAATGGACTTTTTCTTCCCTGATGGCACAGGCATATTCCAAGATGACAATGCCAGGATTCATTGGGCTCAAATTGTGAAAGACTGGTTCAGGGAGCATGACACATCATTTTCACACATGGATTAGCCACCACAGAGTCCAGACCTCAACCCCATTGAGAATCTTTGGGATGTGCTAGAGAGGGCTTTGCACAGCGGTCAGACTCTACCATCATCAATGCAAGATCTTGGTGAAAAATTAATGCAACACTGGATAGAAATAAATCTTTTGACATTGAAGAAGCTTATCGAAACAATGCCACGGCAAATGCGTGCCGTAATCAAAGCTAAAGGCGATCCAAAAAAGTATTAAAGTGAGTGACCTTTTTTTTTGGTGGCGACTTTTTTTTTGGCCAGGTAGTGTAGTTTGTAAACAGCTTTATACTAAACATTTCATACATGGTCCTGTTTATCATTGTTATCAAAATATTTAATAGTTAAATTTTAAAAATTTTTAGGGTATATAATGAAGGGAAATGAGAAATAGATATTTCTTAATAACTTCCCATTATATAGAAAAATTGTAGAAACAATACTGTATAATTAGTAAAGTCACAGCTTGCTTCCATGTAAACACAGAAAAATAGCAAACTGCCAACAAAGCAGACCCCAGTAGTCAAAACTTACCCATGGCTACTTCCTATTCATATCCAGCTGATAATGCAACACAAAGCACAACCATGACCTGCACTTCCTTTGCAGCCATATTCCTTTGAAACCTTCAGCACTTTGCAGTTCTCTTCCACCCTCCTTTAGTGAAGACAAATTAAGCCATTTTTCTCTATTGTTTTACATAGTTTAGTAAAATCTGTCCATAATCTGCCATAAAGCCAACTTAAAACCCTTCTTAGAAGTCTTTTGCCACAATAAATCACAATAATGTCAATTTAGAACATAGTTGTCTTTAGGTACTTTACAAAAAGAAAAAAATATGAACTCTAACCAATACCAACAGATTTAAAGTAAAGTTCATAGAGTCTAAACAATCTTTCATGGCTTACTGATTTTTATTACGTAAAACTTCAGTCCGAATTATTGCATAGTTTTAGTTCTGGCTCTATAGTCGGCATAAAAGGAACTCTAAGGTCACCTTTTTAAAGTCCTTCCATTTCCTCTGTGTGGTGACACACAGTTTGTAATAATAGGCTGGCAGTGTGCTGTCACAACACTCATTAACTCTGCAGCAGCAAGAGCTCCATCGGTTGCCATAGTGAGCTGGTAAGCTGCTCTAAAAAAGGAGAGTGGCAGGACAGAAACAAAAAGATGATGAGCCAGATGAGCACGCACGCATAAACACACCCTCGCACTCAGGTGGAAACAACAGAGGAGGCATGAAACGATCTGTCATCAATGTGCACTCTCATGCTCCACCATTCAGCGTCCCAATAACACAAGTGCACGCATCTATTGCCTCGGCTTTTCTGTCAATGGAACACTAAACTAATGCTTAGCCTTCTTCCACACGAAACAATCCCAGCACCATCACTGTCATTTTTCTGTCATGTGCCTGGAAATTACACAATCAAACTGCAATTTCCTGCCAATTTCCCTTGGTTTGCACCTCTGGGTAAAAGAGAACAACAGATCAATAGTGCAGAAATTACTGATGACTGTAGACTCAAGGTGTCATTCTAACTACCATTTTCTCAGATAAGTGCCTGAATAATCACCTTCAAAGTCATTAAGAGTGATGACTAAAGTTACAAATATTTTCATTTTTCCCTCTTCAGAATTATTGTTATGTATCAGATGTGTTTTAGTCAAAAAACCTTCATCTTCTCTTAGAGGTTAGTTCTCAGGCTGCATAATGAGCCGTCAGTTTGTCGGAGAAAATTTGTACATCGTTTAAAGAAAAATATAGCAGATGTCACAACATTCAAGATAAAATGGACATGAAGTATAGTGTGCCCCCCCAAAAACAAGCTTACCTGAATGACACCACCTCCGTGGCCATGTGTCCCCGCTATAAAACTCTCAGGCAGGTGCAGCATCTTCCCAAGCCAATCTAGCATCACTGTCTCCAACTCTGTGCAAGCTGGACTGGCAGCCTAAACACAATTTCAAGTAAATACTTAAAAAAAGGCTTGTTTTTTTTCTGTGGATATAAGATGAAAATTGTCTGGAATCACAGAGAGCTGGGATTGTTTTCTCATTACCCAGGAAAATCCAATGCAACCGATGGCCCCACACAGCATATCAGCCAGCATAGCAGGGTAAGAGGAAGCTGCTGGAAAGTAAGCAAAGAAGTTTGGGCTGTGCCAGTGGGTGATCTGAAAAACAAAGATAGGAGAAACAATGAAAAGCTACACATTGCAAATGGTAAATAGTTGAACTGTCTAAAACTTGTGTTTTTGTAACACATCTACCTGCATTACCAAGTTAGTACTTTTCCCAAACCTGCTATATTAAAGGACTGGTGTTGTAGATTTGTAGAAAGCATCTTTTTGGTTATTGATTAATTACATGATTAAACTTTTATGTGTAAAGTGTTATAAAAAATAAAGGAAAGAAATGAGAGAGATTACATGTTTTTGTTTTGTTGAAACCTTTGTTTAAAGAAGTCAGAATTGTTGGAGTCTTTGGAGGCTTAATTGTATTATAGAAAAATCTACAATAATTTGCCTACGGCTATCGCAATCAGATTTTCTTTGTTTTTGTTTTTTTTTTTTCAGGTGTGTTGTTGTTAACTCTCCTAAAAGGCAGATGATGCTGGAATACTGGAGCCCAGAGTGGTGAGAGATTGTTTTTTTTTTTTTTTTTTTTTTTTTATGGAGTAAAGAGAAGTACAGAACTGGATGCATGTATCAGGTTTACTTTGAATACAGAGTGAACAAGTGTTAGAAGTGAAACCTATTTTATATAACCTGTGACCCATTTAGTGATATCTATAGATTACTCTGAACTGAACCATTTGAAGATTGGAGCCATCAGAAAAATATCTAATCACTCCAAACTAAAACTGCCATTTTATTATTGGGACTGCTATTGATTGAACAAATAATGAAAATGCTTTCTGTATCTTATATAATGTTATTCGATATTGATTGTAAGAATAAGGCTATATGTTTCAACCAGATCGAAAGATGTTGTCGTAGTTATTCATGTGCTTTAAATGGGCTATACCCCCACTAACCCAGGAGTTAAAGTGTAAAGTGGATTTATTCATTTTGAAATCAGAATTGTGCCAGATAGGACTGTTTATGATGGTGTATTGTTAGTAATGGGATCAATTTTCCACCAGGCTCTAACACCTCCAGAAATTGCTGGTGTCTTGAAACAGGGATAATTTTTTTAACGAATTCACTTCACTAATGTAAGTCTGATATAGAAAGTTTCTTGCGTTATAATTGTTTACGATTGAGCCATTTATTTAATGAAATTGGGTACGTATCCGTTGAAGTATGTAAAATAGTAAAATCTTATATAGGAAGTTAGGAGCTTAAAGCCCTCCTATATTATTTAACAGTCTTAATATTGTGAGTTTAATTCTAGGCTGGTTATTTTTACAGAGATTTTATGGGATGGAACATTGTTTGAACGAATAAAAAAAGCATGTGTCGTCACCTCACCCCTGGCATTATGACTCTCTCCACATCATGCATTATTTCTTCATAACTCTCAGGCTCAAGTGGGGCCTCCGTAGGGATTAAAGAACGGAGATATCCGGGTTCCAGATCTGGGTAGACTGGTCGCTGTTCTATATTTTCCAAGTAGTCTGCCACATAGTCGACCATCTCCTTGCCTCTGCGTCGAAACTCTGCAGCATCCATGATACTACAGGGAAAGAATAAAGATTAGGGAGTAGCCTGCAGGTGTGGTTGGTGTTTCAAGAGTCTGAATGTGACTACTTAAGGATTTCTGACAATTTAGAAAAGGACAAAAAACACAAAAACACACTGGACCTCTCAAGATTAACCTTTGTTCTGTGTGTTGCAGGGATTGAATGGTCTTAACCAGCTTTTTGGTACAAGAATGCTTTAGGAGCATATTTGCTACTAGAGTTGAATATTTTATAAAGGTCAGAACCTCTAATAATACAATCCTTTCACATATAGAACAGTTTTATTCGCTATTATTGGGACATTGGTAAAGATGTTTGAAAAGCCATATTGTAATCACACGTTCACTGATTCAGGTATGAGTGCGTGTGTTTATGTGTCTCTGTGTCGCCCTGCAATGGACTGTCAACTGTCTTTTGGCCAAAGACTGACCATAATCAACAAGGAGAAAAAGATGGAAGGATGGAAAGATACGATAAGTCTTTATCTTTCAGGCAAACACATTTTTTAAAGTTAAAACAAACATTGATTTTGTTTAAACATCTACAGGCTGCATATCTTTATTCTGAAATATGTATATAATTAAATAATATAATTGAATATTTCTTAGGAAACACACTGATATTCCAAGGAAAGAATTAACAGAACAAAAAAAGTTATACAATTTTTTTTCTAAGTAGAGCAAGGAAAATCAATAATGAATAAGTTACAGTGCATTAAAATTCAAACTTAAGTCACTTCAGTTAAGAAAGCAATTTATGTTATATACAAGAATAAAAAAAACAACAATCATATATTTCAAGGTAATTTGAATTTTACTAATCACAGAATCTATGAAATCAATTTGTAAACAGAATTGATCATTTAGGTATAATTGATTTTTTTAAAGGTTTAGACAGTAGGGCTAAGAGACTGAGAAGAGTTAACATATTAACACCATTATTGATTATATGCCTGGTTCAAACAGTTCATAGTTACAGAATAGTCTTGATAAAAAGCACTAAAACTTAGAAAATTATGTTTTTATGATACCAAAGGTTTTTATAATGGAATAATTTAAAAGGAATTTGACCCCATTTATGGAAATGGGTCCAAAAAGACTACGAAGATCTTCGGGTAAAAAGTGCAGTCTCTGATAAAGAAACCAGTGATTTAATGGTGCCAATAAGCAGAGAGATTCCCAATCTAGCATAAGAAGCAGTTCATCTTCATGTGTTGGCAGCCTGACCACCATTGCTAATGTTCCTTATCCTGTCCATGGATACCACAGCCACACAACAAAAGAGGTTATGTACTTTGATCTGGAGATCATCGTGGACTTCTGGAAGAACCGGCCTAACCCCGCTCCACTGCTCATCAACAGCTCAGCTGCAGAGGGACTGCAAACACCACCTCACTGGTCAAAAGAGCACTAAAGCGCATGTACTTCCTGCGGAGGATGAGGAGAGCCCACCTGCCCCCACCCATCCTCAACACCTTCTAGCACCATAGAGAGCGTTCTGACCAGCTGTCTCACTGTGTGGTGTGGAGGATGCAGCGCCTCTGACTGGAAGAAGGTGAGAAGAGCAGTAAGAACAGCAGAGAGGATCATCGGGGGTCCTCTTTCCTCCATTAATGACATTTCATCCCAGCGCTGCGTGTTCCGAACCCATAACATTATCAATGACCCCTTACCCCCCACCAAGGACTGTTCTCCCTGCTGCCCTCTGCGAATAGACTTCGAAGCATCCGATGCAGGTCCAGCAGATTCCAGAAAAGTTTCTTCCCCACTGCCATATAGACTGCTGAATGTCCATAACATTATCAATGACCCCTTACCCCCCACCAAGGACTGTTCTCCCTGCTGCCCTCTGCGAATAGACTTCGAAGCATCCGATGCAGGTCCAGCAGATTCCAGAAAAGTTTCTTCCCCACTGCCATATAGACTGCTGAATGTTTTGTCAAATTGTCTTTTTTTTTTTTTTTAAACCCTGAATGTTGGAAGCTGTAAATCATATACAGTTGTATGTTTACATTTATCACGGCTGCTTACATTTTATCACTACTGCACTTTAAAAATGAAAATGTCTTGAGAGCTGTTTTTGTATACACTCTGCATGTACAAAATGACAATAAAGTTTGTCTAAGTCTAAGTAAGTCCCTCTTCAATGCCCTTGTACAGCAGAGCTGCAGGTACTGAAGCAGCACAGGCAAAATTCTCAGGTCAAATGTGGTTTGCAGGTCCACCACTGCATGAACAGTGAGCACGGCTGCTTCTTAAATACCATAACAAACAAGACTAATGTTGTTAAAATTGATATCCAGTATGAGTAGACGTGTCTGCATTAACACTAATGCTGCAGTGCTCTAACAATGACATTCTAATATTTAAACATACATGTTTCATCTATTTTTATATCACACTAATGGGACTTATGGGCAGGAAGGCCAATTTCTTTTTGACATTATTTTTATTTTTAAATGTAATGTCAGAAATTAAGGTTGGTTTTGACCCCTATTATGGGGTTGAATTTTGGTAGTGAAAAGTAGTCCATTCAGTGCCCCATAAAGGGTTAAGTGTGTCATTTTTTTTAATGAATAACTTGATCGTTGACCTCCTTACTTCAGCAACATTCATTACACCTACTTCAGAAGCTGGGCAGACTTTTCTCAGACTATTCACATTTAATATTCTCTTTTTAAAAAGTCTAGACACATGATAAATACTTTAGTAAAATAAAACAAACCCGGTTATCACCCATCAACATGCAGCTGACCCAGAAGTGAGCAAAGCTTATGCTTGTGGGCAAATGCAGCATCATAGGGACAATTTAATTTGATGGTTGGGGAAAAGCTTGGACCTTATTCTCCTGCACATTTCTGTCGTACCGCCTGTTTAAACAGTATAATAGCAAATGAACATTGCCCCCTGCACCATGTCATTGCCTTATCATTCAACAAGTGTTACAGTGCAGTACTTCATTGTTGTTGAGCAGCAAACCCCTTATCCAAAGCATTATCTCAAATAGGATTAGACATGCTGTATGGATGTGTGTGCGTGTGTGTGTGTTTACTCACACTTTCAGATCCAGAGAGCTTCACCAGCACTGTTTGGAGAGTAAATCTTCGTTTCCTTTATTTCGAGTCCAGAAGCAGTCAAACGGACAGCCAGGCACGTGTTGAATGTATTTCTGTGTGTAAGCAGACCAGGAGACATTTGCTCCTTTTATCTTGCCTCTTACCACCCCCATCCCACCAACCCCGACGAGGCCAACCAATGGGAAAGGGGCTCATAGACAACGCAAGACAGAGTGATTCATAATGTGTTCCTAACTAAAACCACCCATGGATGAAAGGCATTTACCTTCAAACATAATATACTATGCAAGGTCCACATGAACCAACAAGAAAAACATTTATTTTTATTTATTTAAAGCTACTGTGCCTGTAAGAAGTTTATATACATTTTAATCAGCGTAACAATCATGTTTAGTTTGGAAATCGAAATGTTTATATTACATTTGTGTTTCTTATCCAGGCTGGAATTATTGTAAAACATATCTTTAATCAGTCTATTCTCTACTTCATATTGGCATGAAATTATACATTCAGACTCAATTATATTTATACAACACTTATACTTATTTAACTGGCTGAAGCAGGTGACATGAAAACCACATCTTTGTTAACCGTCAACAAAGTTCTGGTATATTTTTCTAGAATATTTAACCATTTTTCCAGGTAGAAGAAGATGAGCTCCTTTAGAAACTATTAGATTTCTGTATAAGATTCAGCTTTTAAGAAAAGTCTATAATTTTTCCTTGGAGCAAGGAATCAGGCAGTGCTAACAGGTTTACATTAACCTTATTTGTTAATTTATCATAGAACCCATTTTGATGTATGTTAAGGATTATTGTTTTATTGGAACATCCAAATGCAAGTAGTTTTCATTCACTGTACCTAAACTGCCATTTCTGGAACCACAAAGGTTTAACGTTTGTTGTTAAAACATCAGTAAAGCAATGTGTCCTGTATTCCGAAAAAGTTTAAAACAAAACAATCCACTGGACTTAGTTACCGAGTTTGAAGACACTGCGCCTCTCATCCAGGAAGCTTTTTTCAATTCAAAATGTCAGAATCAGCATTGAGTTCGAAGCTTTATAAAGTTTTTTTTGGAATGACTATGACCTGGATGACTGAGAATCTTCACCTGTATATTGAATCCCGTCGTTGATTTCATGACTCTGTTTGTGGTCCTTGATCAGTAAGAAGGTACCCTACTGGGTCTTGAGATCAGGGGCACAGATGGGGGGCCAATCATTACCCAATGATACCCAATGATCATTGGCCACCCCTGTGTAAGGGTGATTGGGTAAGGGCCATGGCCATCCTTACCCCATGGCAGCAGTAATACTTTTAAGTGATACTACAGTAATACTCTCAATATTCAAAACATGTGAATTTTTCATAGATTAACAATTACTTGACAACAAAAACACTGTGGTTAATTATGCACATCAATATACTAACATTAAAGATAAGTACAGAATTCATGCTCTTGTCAGAACTAGGTTTTGTGTTATATGGGGTAAAGAGAAAGTGCAAATTATTTAGGAGTCTTCAGTTAAATCATTGATAAATAACTAATCTTATAAAAACTTAGTAAATAAAAAATTTTTGTAGATATTAGTGGTTGCAAATATCAATTTTATGCAGGATGATTATTGATAAAAGTAGGTAAGTAATGACAATGGAAAAGATGTTGGACCCAGAACTCAAACCTGAAAGAACTTTATCCTCCATATCTCTCATCTAGATGGATTTTAAATATATGCCTCTATTTGTTGGCAAAGGCTGTAGGAAAGTATAGTTTGTCTTTACGGGTATTTGGAAAATATGGTTGTTGTGGTTGTTCATTTTCCTGTTGGATATATATAGATTAACCCTAAGGTTCTGGTGCCGATCCGCTTTCGGCCACCCTTCAGTGTACATTGGTTACTGCCTGGCCACCCTTATAAAAATGTTCTGGCTACGCCTCTACTTGAGATCCACTACAGAAGTCGAACTAAACAATAAACATTTATTTTTAGAAAAGATTCATTAAACTATGCAAAAAAATCAGCTATTTTGGTTGTTGATGCCGTTTGTATATTCTTTACACCCTTGTTAATTGATTTTATAAAAATGTTTGTATGCCTAACTAACAGATTAGGTCATGCGTCGACTCTGATCAGGTTTGTGGGTCATAAGTTGAAAAGTTTGGAGGCTTCCTAGAAGCACTTACCATGAAATAGACCCTGAGCATGGTACTATCAACACTATGAAACTGAAATTGAGATAGTGAGTAAGTAATGTATTTGGTCTATGGAAATGTGAGGGAACATCTGAGGGAACCACAGACTATCCAGACTTTTAAAAAAGGATTAAAAACCTTTCTTTTTAGCAGAACTTACGACCGTTAACATTTTATAATTATGCTACCTACTTATTTATTCATATGTACATTACAATGATGTTTAGTTTTAAATGTGTTTTCTTTTAGCTTTCTATGATGATTTTACCTGTAGCACTTTTAGATTTTTATTAAATGTAAAGTGCATTACTGATAAAATTCATTATTGTTATTATTATTATTGGTTCTGAAAGACTCACCTATACTCATTTAAACATCTTTTCTGTATTTTCTTCCAAACAGCCCAATATTTCTCTTGTCTGAGCATAAATGTTTTCTCCTATTGGGCATTTAGGTTTGAAGCAAGTCTTTCTTTGTCTACACCCTCTCTGTACATATTTGTCTAAAATGTCCTTCTCAGTGGACACCGAAAAAGTATTGGCACCATAAAACTTTTTACTCCAGTCCTTAAATACCAGCAGCATAACCAGTAGCACTTAAACTAGACTTTAGCACCTTAAGGAGGCAGAGAAAGTGTTACAGAATCAGCGCTGAGGCTTCTGCAATGATGCAAAGTGCAGGCAGTCCAATGTTCAAAAAGGTCTCCATCTCCAAAATCACTAACCTTTAAATTCTAGGACTTTAAGGGAGGCTGGGCACATACTCACATGTATTGGTAAATCAAAATATGCCACCTTACAGGTGTAAATATTAGGAAGCAGTGAACACACGGTTCCTCTGGAGCATGCACACAGTGTTCTATCCTCCCCACTGTTTTGTTTTATTACAAAACCTTAAGTGAATTTTCTTATCCAGGGATTTCCAAAGTGTGGGAGAGTCTGCCTCCCTTCAAAGAGCCACTATGCACCTTCAACTAAATTATAGCTTTTCTTTCCTCCATTTGATGTTGAAGAAATTCTTATTTTTCACACTTTACATCAGCTTTAAAACAGACCAGAACAGACACTCGTGGAGCATTCAATGTTCTACATATTTTCATATTGCCTTTTTATTTTTCAAACTGCACGGAGTTGACACATCTCTCTCTCTGTTTGGGTTTTTGTATATAAAATAATGTTTTTTTTATACAAATCTAGAGCTGTGAGTTATCTCAACCCCAAAGAATTTATAAAGATGACCAAATTCTGCACCTTTTATTGGATGTAAATGACTTATTTGTCCTATCTGCACCTAAAAAAAAGCGATATACACATTAAATTAAACAAGGTCTAAATCTGACAAATGCTTCAGCTGTAGTTGGTAGAGAAGTGGTGAATATGACCCATTGTTGCAAACAGCAGAGAAAATATTTTGATGCGTACTTAAATATATATGCAGCATTTCTTATTTGTTTTTGAGTCTTGTTTTTGCATGAATTTTTGATTTACTTTGAATTTAAGGGTTTCTGAACAAAGTATGAATTATAAAAAGATAATTATCTCCAAATTATCTATCTTCACCTACATGTAACCATTAAATGAACATTATAGTTTTTACAGTTCCTAAAGGTTACTTAATTGTTTGTCTTTGCCTTACCCAAATTATATTTCAGTTAATAGAGCAACCAAAGCCCTTTTTTTGTTACGGTACAGTAGTTCCAGTTTTATCAACGTTTTCAACATTTGCTGTACAAGCCCATTCTGGGCTGATAAGAACAAAGTGTTCTAAGAATACCTTAAGAGCAAAGGTGGGTACTCTCCGCAGTTCTTTCTGAACACATTTTCTCCATAGTAAGACATGAAAAATCATTAGACATAAATATACAAAACCATTAGTACAGGTAATTCTATATAAGACATAATATTGGTATCCAAATGTTAAAAAGTACAACTCAAATATACAGTGAATTAATCTTACAGATATTATTATATTCTCTTTCCAGATCAAATAAAACTGGTTATTTTGTTTAGAAATAAAAGTCCCAGAGTCTGGAAGAAAAATGCTGTCTTTAGCAGAGTCAGCCTAGAGGTCAGGTGTCCATCACAGACTGGCAACTTGTCCAGGGTCCACTGATCTCTCCTGTCCACTCACTAACAAGGGAAATTGTCATGATCTGGCCTGTTTGCTCCTCCCTAATTAGTAATCCCTTTCACCTGTTGTTTTCCCTCACTGCCTCAATTATAATTTATTCCTCTCACCTGTTTCCTCCTGGTTATATTCAGTTCAGCCTGAGCATTCAGGGCCAGATCATTATTTGTTTTCTGTTAGCCTGTCTGTTAGTTTTATTTCTTCATGTCCTGGATCCTGGCAGCCAGTGGAAAGAGGGTTTTGTGTTTGTCTCGTCTCCTGATCGTCCACTGTTCCTACCCAGTTGAGTCCTCTAGGTTTTTGGCTCTATATGTGGGGAGGTTCAGTTTTTATTCCAGCAAGCCTGGCTCCAGGGAGGAGACCAGTTTAAAGTCCTGCATCAAGTTCTGGTTCCACGTCCCGTCTCGGCTACCCTCTTCTACTGAGCCTGCTCAGCTGCACCTGATCCTGTCTGCTCCTGTGCGTGACCACCTGGTCACGCTTTCGGACCCTGTCAGACTCTGAACCCTCCTGGGAGCCTGTGGACGCCTGGAAGTCTGGATCCTGCCTCCTGTTTCTGTTCCTGCCTGATCTGGATCCTGTTCCTGTCTGTTCTGGATCCCTGACCAGGATTGGCTTCCAGCATGTCCACTGGGACTGCAGCACTTGGGGACATTCTAGGACTAGACTGTTAAACCAGGTAAGTGGCCAACTCAGATAATCATCTTCTGTCAGATGATCGTGGTCACTTACCTGTGTTTCTCATGCAGAGTTCTGTGATTGGGTGGTGCCCCGCTCCCCATCCTGCAGTGTCTGCGAGCCACAGCTCCACTTCAGT